TATATATATATTCCAACAAAAGATGCTCTGAGTCCTGTCTTGATTGCTCTAAAAATGGATGGACTGACGTCAGGCATGAATCCTGGACTATGATGTTTGCAAATGACATTGTGATCTGTGGTGAGAACAGGGAAAAGCAGGAGGAGACCTTGGAGAGGTAGAGACATACACTTGAAAGACATCCATAGAAAGACAGAGTACCGGTGCAGGACTAACCCTAACAAAGTACATACAGTATGTTCGACTGTAGGAAAATGGGGAGTGTCGTAATAAGGGTAAAGAAGAGAGTCCAGGCAGGATGCAGTGGGTGATGGAAGGTTTCAGGAGTGATTTGTGACTAATAAATGCCAGCAAAGGTCAAAGGAAGCATTACAAGACTAGTGAGACCCACTATGTTGTAAGGTTTAGAGACACTGGCACTGATAAATACAGGAGTCAGAACTGGAAGTAGCAGAGCTGAAGATGCTGAGGTTCTCCTTGAGAGTGACAAGGATGGAGACGATGATCAGAGGTATAACACAGACTAAACGACTGAAAGATTAAATTAGAGTGGCCAGACTGAGACAGTTTGGGCATCTGCAGAGGAGAGACTTTGGGTGTTTTAGTAGACAGATGTTAGAGATGCAGCTGCCAAGAAAAAGACAAAGAAACTAGTTTAAAGAGGAGATTTGCTGTAGGGAAGAAGTTAGAGAGGACGTGGATGCTATTGGAGTGAGGATAGAGGACAGAGTGAGATGGAATAGGATGATCCCTGAAGAGGGAACAGCCACAATAAGAAGTTTTGTAAAAATGTCTGCCTAACTTTCAACTGAGAATTAAAGACATATGACAAAAATATTACAAAGACACACTACAGTATACATTTAAATGTCACGGTGATAGAATTTAATTTACAGTGTTTTGATCCTATAAACTGAGAATCTGACAGCGAAAAGACAAACAGGCAGCATTTGGTAAGTGTGACACAATCAAGATCCAGTACAAACCTATTAATTATTGCAATAAAATGTCTATCTGGATCTAATATGGCTACGTACTAATTACAATGTATTTAAATATTGTAAAACCAACAAATGCATTGGAGACAATCACATTGTTATATTAATCTGTCTTAAGATAAAATATCTTAGTTGTCAAAAATATGATTTATAGCAAACATTTTTAAAAATTTGCTGTAATACAAAAGTAATAAATGGGTCAAGTTTTTTCCTATTATCTGTCTGAAGTTCAGCCGCAAATATTTTACAGGTGCATTATGTCAGAAACCAGTTATGAGTCACGCTCTTACAAGCATACCAGAGATGCCAGCTTGTAATTTCAGTCCAGAGAAATATAAGGTAAGAGTTCAATTATTTTAATTCATTGTGTGTCCACCTTGAACCTTTATGTTTTGTATTATGTTTCACCTGACTAATATATTTAAAAATCATTTAGTCTATCTGAATTACACACCTGTGAATGTATCATTTTTTTCCATGTAAAACATCACACAAGCACACCCAATTAATGAGCGTTCACAGTTTTGTGTCTAAGCAGTCCAGTTAAAGCAATGTTATGTTGTGTACAATGTTTTGTCATGTTATGTACAGTTATGTTGTGCTTGTTCAGGGTATGTCAAAAGCACAGATGCTGGAGATCCGCAAACAGAAATGCAACCCTATGACCATGAAGGTTACTTACTATAAGAAGCCAGTGTTCATTCATCAGGGACACATGCAGTGGCTGTGGGACGTGGATGGGAAGCGATATCTGGATTTGTTTGCTGGTGTGGCTACTGTCAGTGTGGGCCATTGCCACCCGTAAGGTCCTTTTTTCTTTTTAATATCATTTTTTTATTGCTTTTACACAGCCACTATTGTAACTAAACTAATATTTGATCTGTGTGCACAGGAAAGTAAGGACCGCCGCAGAACAGCAACTAAAGAAACTCTGGCATACCACTAGCATTTACGCCTACCCTGCCCTCCATGAGTACTGTGAAAAGCTAGCTTCCTATTTACCAGATCCTCTTAAGGTGGATTATTATTATTATTTATGAAATATTCATTGGTAAGTGTGTAGATAACTGTGTAGGCAGTAATTAAAATGTATGCTGATCTGTTTCCCCCATAGGTGATCTATCTGACTAACAGCGGCTCTGAAGCCAATGACCTTGCAATGTTGATGGCTCGCCTCTACACTGGCAATTATGATATTATCACACTCAGGTCCAAGAGCTTACTTTTTTATTATAACTGACAGATAATATGTGCATAATGCATTAAGTGGCAGGATCTGTTTTTTATTCTGATGTTTGATATTACATAAGAATTTGGATGTGCAGGGTTTTACAAGACAAAAAAAGTAAAGTATACATATAGCTTTACAGATTTTGTGATAAGTTGTCCTCAATTGGGTTTTTTTTTTTTTTGTTAGGAACTATATTCTTGTAAATGTAATTCATATACAGCTCTGGAACAAATTAAGAATCCTGAAAATTTTGCCGTGATCTTTGATTTTATTATATAAACCTATTGACAACGTACTTTCCAAACTTCAAATTGTTTTTTAGAGCATTCTTTATGGAAAACAAAAAGAAAAAAGCTGCAGTGTTTTTTCTGATCTAATGATTTGTTATCATTTTATACATCAGGATATTAACAGTGGCTGTCACATCATAGCAAGGTCACAGTTATGCCTCCTGGCCTTTCCTTGTGGAATTTGCATGTTGTCCTTGTGCAAGTGTGGGTTTTCTCTGACATACCATAAAAGTATTTATGTTAGGTTCATTGGTAACTCAAAATATCTCAGGTGTGAGTGAAAGCATGGATGGTTGTTTGTCTGTATGTGGACAAAGAAGTGATGTGCGACCTGTCCAGGTGTACCCTGCTTTTGTGGGTAATGTGGGTAAGTGGGTAAGGAAAATGGACGGATGGACAATACTAATGTTTTAACTTAGGACAAGCTCAGAAATCAGTAGTTGGTTCAATAACCTGACTTTTAATTACAGCTTTCGTGTGTTTTGTCATGCTTTCTACCATTCTTTCACATTGCTGAGTGCCGCTCGACACAGAAATTCAACCAGCCCACCTGTTTGATGTCCATCCATCCTCCATTTAATCATATTTAATCACTGTTTTTGCCATCCAGCTGGTTCAGTGGCAAGAGTTCATAATGACTGCAATAGCGGCTGTTATTTCTTTTCCTATTAAATAAGATTTGGTTCAGGTGATCATATAATCATGACCTCATTATTAGGTAGAAAAAGGTGTGGCTTGAGTAAGAATTCAACACATTGAAATGGAATTACTATCATTACATGTGGTGGTGTTGATTTCAGAAAAAAAAAAAGCACTGGTCCTTTAATTTGTTCCAGAGCTGTACAGTGGAATATCTTATTTGTGAAAACTTTATTGTAGCAAAAATATCTTAGGTTTTGACTTTTATATGTTTGTTTTTTCCCCAGAGGATCATATCATGGTGGAAGTCCGCAGGCCATGGGTCTTACTTCCAACGCAGCTTATAAATACCCCATTGCCAACGGTTTAGGTTGTACAAATGTATGTACTACAATATTATCAAAAGAAAAACATTCATATTTAGGTGATGGTAGAAATATGCTATATAAAGAAAGACTGTTACACAGATATCAACTACTCTGAGGTATAAAAAATGTTCCCCATGTCTTGCAAACAGCCACCATTTCTAACCCATTACTGCTGCTGATGAGTTTGAATTACATAACTAGAAGAAGCAATCAAAAAAATAATAAAAAAGAAAATTAAAAGTTAGCTGAAATGAAACGAGTTAGCGCACAAAACGTCATGCAGCTCTGTTGTATTATTTTATTAAGAGCCCATTTGTGTCGGTGTGCACAGGATGTGCATAAATATAGGTTAGGAAATAGCCTGGGTAATGATATATTTCAAGTTACCATGTTCTCTGTCTTGCTTTTGCCATTCAGATGACGATGTAATTTGAACCCACTAACATCATACAATATGTGAGAAAATAACACAAGCAATTGTCAAGTTTTTATTATTCTCATATTTTTTTCTTTCACATTTTAGTTTAGTAATAAATTTCATAGCAATTTTATATCTACAGTATGCATTCAGTAGGTAGCTGATACACAAAACAGACATGAGATTCTTACAGTAAAAAGTATTTTATGTGATATTTTGTAAGACTAAATGCTGTGTGAGGTTAACCCAGCTGTCTTGTTTTCCACTAAATAAACAGACCATGTGTCCTGATGTGTTCAGAGGTCCGTGGGGAGGAAGCCACTGCAGAGACTCTCCAGTACAGACGACCAGAGAGTGTAGCTGTGTGCAAGGTACAAAAAATCACATGGCATGCAAAGCTCGGCGTCCTCACGGACATGAAAAACACACCACGGTTCTCTGGGTTATTAGGCAATGTTTTCCACAAGAATGAATGTTTGACTTTTGAAACTCAAGTGTGTTTGCTTTGTTTTTATTGTTTCTGCAGTTATCAATTATACCTTACAAAAGACTGTACTGTAGCTTCAAAATGCTGTTATTTGCTAATTGGGCTTAAAGAACCACAAAAGTAACGCCCTCACTTCTGAAAATGAAAAATGGGGAGACAAGAATGAGCTAAATAAAGTTCAAAGTCTCCTGCTGTTGATCATTTACCTATTTAGCTTTTACCGCTCTCAGAAATCAACCAAGGTCACTATCTTAGTACAGCTAAGCTTTATAAACATACACAGAAACAACCTTTTTCAGCAGTACAATATAACTTGTCAGCGACAAACAAACACAATTATCATAATTTTATTTCAATTTAATAAATGACATTTAAAAGTATTTTTAAAGTGTGCAAGTGTATTTTTTTTCTAGGTGGGATTTAGATAATTATGTGATTGTTTTATTGATATCCTGACATGTTTTTATGCATATGTGTTGTTTGTTTTTGTTTATTACAGGTAATTGCATGGCAAATGAACAATACATCAAACAACTCAAAGAGACTTTAGCTACAAGTGCCCCAGAGAGAATCGCTGCTTTCTTTGGAGAACCAATTCAGGTGCTGTTTTTTTTTTTGTCTTACAATGAATCAGAAAAATATTTCAGTGTTATGTATACCCCTTTATTATTTCCAAATGTCTCAGTTTTCTACTTTAAATCTTATAATTGATTGTTTTATAATATGAATGTACTATCCACAGTGAATGCATAGTTAAACCTACTAATTGCATTTAACTAAGATCAGAAAACAAACATTTATAAACCAATAGGGTTAGGTGATAAATCGATTTAATTGATTAATTCGAATTTGCCATTTATAAAGATTTAGTTTAGGGAAATCTGGATGTTTTTTCCACCATTGCTCTCTTTGGGGCTTCTGTAGTTCAGAGGTCACCCTGCCTGTCCCTCAAGACGCTTGGTACACAACATGACAATACGGCAGCTAGCAAAGAGGATCTACTTCCCAAAAAAAGGCACTGTTTCTTCAGTATTCTGGAACTGGTTAGGTTTCTCAACCTCAGACTTGGAGCAACAAACACCTCACTGCTAAATCTGTTTGAAGGCTCTTGATACAAAAAGCAGTACAAAAAAATGTGTTTCAACACCTGAAACAGAGGCACTTCATTAAGTGGGAAACAAATCGATTAAAATCAAAAATTTGGGATGACAAAAATCTGAGGGTTTTTTTTTTTTTGGGGGGGGGGAGCATATTGCCCAGCCCTATAAACCACATATTTTTGTGTTTTTATCTGCAACAACAACTGTTATGTGCTTGTGTCTGGTCCATGCAGGGAGTCGGAGGAGCTGTTCAGTATCCTAAAAACTACCTCAAGGAGGCATACCAGCTCGTAAGAGAGAGAGGAGGGATCTGCATCGCTGATGAGGTTAGACATATATTTTAGAAGGATTTTCTTTTTATTTATTTAAAAAAACATCAGCGTTTAAGTATCGTATGAACCAGTTAACCCATAAAGATTTTGTGTATATTTTCCAACAAAATGAATCCTCCAAACTTTCTGTTCAGACAGATTTGTTGTGTTTAGAAAGTCTGTATCTTTTATGGATTAAGTTAGATTTGACAGCTTTATGAAAGCTTGCTGTAATGGTTCTGTTTTTGTCTTTAAAGTATTTACTGTGTGTGCTCAGCATCAAGTTACATCCCAGTTCATTTTAAGACCAATAACTGGACATGGAGTAATTAGGCTGTTGCTGAAATTTTTTTTTTACTTTTCTCAGCCTGTAGATTTCATGTGAAATCAAAGCTAAACTTAGTTTAAAAAGCCCCTAATAAAAAAATCAGTTCATTTATTCTTTTGTCAGATAAGGCTGATAAAATCAATGTAGAACTGAGTTGAACGTCTGTGTTAGATTATCATTTCTCTGGTTTGTTCTTCTTACCTTTTATTTCCAAGTTTTTTGCTACAACTCGTTCTCCATGACTTGTAGTAAATCTAAACACGTCACCTGCTGCTAATAAGTAAACAGTCCATTGTTTGACTCTGCTTACAACAAATCTCAACAGAGTTAATTACTTTAAAAGATTATGGATGTCTGCACGTGTGGACTGACAGCTCCATGACAACGCTGCTACGTTATGCCTGAAAAGCAATCACCATATAGCTGGACTTTCTCAGCAATGACGGGCTTCCATGTTGTCTTTTCCTCCACCTGGCAGGTCCAAACGGGATTTGGACGAACTGGAAGCCACTTCTGGGGTTTCGAAGGGCATGATGTCATTCCTGATATGGTTACAATGGCAAAGGGCATCGGTAATGGATTCCCCATGGGAGCTGTTGTCACAACACCTGGTGAGGTTATGTTAGATATAAAACCACTGACTAACAAGCTGATTAGTATAAAAGGCACTTACTGAGCCTAATTTAATAATGCTGTTCATGGTTTTTCACCATTAATTTGTCAAGATACGCAACTGGAAATGTCTTTGTCTGCTTTTTTGAGGCAGCAAACAACTATTTTACTCAACTTTAAAACAAACGAGACACTCCGAGGTACTGTATATTTACAAAGCAGATTTATTTATTTATTTTATTTTACTTATCTATTATTTTATTCATTTCATTTCTTTAAAAAAACAACAAAGGTTGTATACAATAAAAAAAACAAATCACAAATAAAATGAA